GACTCCCTTTGTAGATTCTTAGTAAGTTTGACTTTCCTTAGACTATGAAGACTGTTGGCAAAGATGTGAGAGTTGCATTGAGACTCGATTTAGAATTAAAGAAGAGCTCAAGTACTGGGCTCATGGGTTCGTGTAGAATTCTCATTCAGGTTCAAGTCTGAGGTTCCTGAAAACTAAGGAAAGTTTTGCAAAAAACCAAGCATTCTTGGTTGTGGCTGAAGTTTTGGCTTTAGATTTCAACCAAATGAAAAACATGTGGAGGTTAGTCTAGATCCAAATCAAACTTCCATCCAAATTGAGAGGTCTTTCAGATTTGTATTCTGGCCTACTTAGATGTGATCTTACTTTGTTCTAGCTCATTTCTATCATCCGTTTTAAGCGCTGCAGGTGGTGCTGCTGCATTTCAGCAATGCTAAGCTATCTGCTGGTGCTCTCAAGCTATGAGGTTGCATTGACTGTTCCACAGGAAGCCTTCTGCGCTGCGTGCTGCCGTAGTGTAGTCACACACCAGCTGATCCCCTCGGAGAATCCAGATGCTCTTCTGGCAGCAGTCGGACCTGACCTTGCACACAGTCATCCCTCAGCTATCTCTGGGTTTGCAATGAGTGGTGGCAGGACTAGAAAAGAGCAGAGCTGATTAGGGCCCTGAGCAATCTCATGTCCATACCCTGTTCAGATTTACTCCTGTAAAGTGTCAATGAGTATTTTACTGGACTTAAGGAAGAGCACTGGGCGGATTTAGGCTTGGGATACTGCTAAACTTTCCCGAGCTTTGCTGAAAAGGCACCTCTGTGTGCATTTTCCAGACACTACCATCCTCAAACTCATGGGACAAAGGTAAAAACTATGTTAGTAAACTTTCTTAAAAAGTGCCATGCAGCCTGATAAGTTTCTTTAACACCATTAAAAAGTTATTTTAAAGTCTGCAGTGTAGAAATACATTGCCTAGGTTATCTGCGTGTGTGTGTGGGTAGCCTCTTTTATGCTGCAGCTGCTGAGTTGCACAATCGAGCCATAATATTGCAATGATGCCTGTGAAGCTTTTGTAGATACTTAGCCCCCCTTCACCTCTTGCTGCTGTTGTCTGTGGTCCTTTTATCTCCCTTCAGCTCATCTGTTTTGTTTCCTTTGCTCCACCAGAGTGTTCAGAAAGTAAATCAATTCAATTTCTCTCTCTCCTCTCAAGTCATGTTTCAAGACTCAGCCTTTACTTTTGAGGAGGTCAGTATTTCAGTTCTCCAAGATAAGGGCTGTGGCTACCTGAGGGACGCCCCACCACCCCTCGCCTGGGCAGGAGGCAGGACTTGTTCCAGTATTGCCCCATGGATGAATCTGCACTTTGCAGTGGAGACCTCTGAGCTAGTGCTGGCCCAGGTCAGAAAGCCCCCAGGATGCAGCACATCCCTTTGCAGAGGTAGCAGCTCATTTTTGAAAGCAGTGCAGTCATGCTTGCTTGCCGTTACCCCTCAGGTGATGAACCTGCCTCTGTAACACAAGCTGAAAACTCATCCACGCAGAGGGAAGAGCTTTCTCCTGCTATTTGGAGAGTGTAGAAAAAAGATTCACCCTTTTTCTTCTAAAGATATTGCAGAGTGTCACCACTCTCCACTCTGAGTACCAGCAGCACATCTTCAGCCTACCTTCTCTGCTTCAAAAAGATAACGCTGTAGATTTAGGTTACAGTCCCTACCTGACATAACACTGACCAAACCCTATAAAATCCAGTACCTTTGGAGGCACCTAACCTCCTGTTGGGGCAGAGGGTGGCAGAGAAAATGACCCACTCATGAGAAAAGCGATTCATGCCTGACAGGGTGCTCAGGAGCTGCGGTGATGCAACAGGCTAACACCACCAGGGACTCGGGGATGTCCTGCTGTTGCTTTGTCTCTTTGTCTTGGGACACTGTGTTATACTGAGATGTTACACTAGATGGTGCATTCGACAAATTATTTGAAGGGATTGATCTTCCCATGCCAAAAGCTTTTGGTGCAAGGCTGACCATAACAAGCCCATTTGCTGTGTACACACAATACATCCTTTTCATAACTTTTCACAAAGTTGACCCTTCCGTGCAAGAGTTGAAAGCGGCCACAGCTACCAAGGCGGCACTTTGAGGCTTTGGCATTTGTGCCTGTAGGTTTGGGGAATTTTTTTATCCATCACAGATCTTTGACTAATTCACAAGTCACTTAGAAACAAGCAAACCGTAATGGCATATTAAATTTGAGGGTTGCTTGAGTTTGGATAGAGGAAAGATCTGTTAGAAAACCTCTGATATTCCTTATTAACCTGCATTTCCCCATATCCCATCAATCTAGGCCAATTACATGGAACTTAAGATGTGCACATATTGTTTTATTTTCTGGAGAACAAATACAGATTTATTTGCCCCGTGGCCAGATACCTTTGCCATAGGGCAGTGAGGAGTGATGGCTTCCCTTCCTCTCCCCAGAAGGGAGCATTAGCCTGCAGGCAGCCTGTGGGACAGTGCGTACAGGACGAGACTCTTGTGTCCGGGGATTAGCTCCTGCCCTTCCCTTTGGGTGTGTGGGAGCCCTTCTGTATTCGGGATTTGGGGCAGGGGAGCAGGCAGCACAGCAAGCAGCGCACACGTTGCTGGGAACTGTTGACAGCTTCACCAGGGAGCTCAGAAGAGCTGAGGGCTGGGAGCTGAGGGCTGCAGACCCATCCTGCAGGTAACGGTGCTAACGCATGTCCCCCCGCTTTGTGACTCTCTCTTTGGGAGTGTATTATGACAGAAATCACTAGGTGCTGCGGTTACACGTAAATCCTATGGTTTTTCTTGGCGCCCGCACATTTTCAGTCGTTGGACAAAGGGTTCTTGTTACGGTTGAGTTTACGGTACCCCTTTGAAAAGCTTCTGAAATAAAGTACCGGGCAGCAATAGAGCTGGAAGGGATCGTAGCTTCTTCAGACCCCCGTAACTGTGCTTGGGCTGAGATTTCTGGAGGAACAGACTGACTGCACACATGTAGCACCCATCCTCTTCCTAGGAGAAGCGTGCGTGCTCAAACCCAGCATCCTTCCCCATTGAGAACTCAGCTTTGAGGGCCCCGGATTTCTGTTTCCTCTGGGGTGACAGCAGTGCGCCAAGGCACAGCACTCTCTTAGTTTACATGGAGAAATTCAGATGAATTTCACAGAAAGGGAAATCTTAGTGAGAGGAGTTGCCTTCTAGAGTCATAAGTGGGTAAGTAAAACAATGTCAGAAGAGATTAGGAATTTCATGAATGTGGATTCTTTAGAAAAGGAACTGGCTCAGGTTATAATTTATTTCTAACCTTTTTCTTATTTAGAGAGATTTTTAAGCATTCTAGATCTCAAATTTACTTTCTGATTGGTTTGAAACTTTTATTTTTGGTATTATTTAAAATAAATATACCTTCACTGTTTCCCTTTATTAAAAATTGTTATAGTTTAAATGGAAACACACACATACATATGAATATGTTGTATTTATTTAGGTAGATTCTATATATTGTACAAATGTACACATAGATCCCATCATTCCGTTCTCACACCAACACTAACGTTAGGAGATTATTGGGAAACCAGCCAATGAAACTCCTTATTAACAGAAAGCAGAAACCCAGTTTGTCCTTCTTTTAGCGACTGATCTCTGGCAAGCCATCCAACCTTTTTTTTACCTTTTACACCCCACTCTTTGCCTTGGTTGTCTGGTTTAGGCCTTTGTCCTTCAGATGTTTACTACTTACTGCGTATGTAAACATGTATTTTAATATTTTCAGGGTAGGGTCTTAGACGTTGCCTACCAGGAAGAAATTACACTGAATTAACTATACTGATTTAGAAATTTATTTAGTTAAATCAGTGCAACTCTCCTGAGCACTTTATATCACTGCAGTTTAAGTCATGAGTCAGTAAGTAACAAATCAATTCTGTTGGCAGAGAGTGAGAAAGATTAGACTGGGTCTTCAGCCCTTCTATCTCATTATTTATTAGGCTAAGGCCTCTTCAGGGCTTGTTGCTGTTCTCTTTAATTTTCTTTGCCTAATGGACCTGATCCAGCTCTTGATAGTGTGAATTAGGGTTTTTCCATGACCTCCAGCTGGGAGCCGGAGATGGCAATATCTTTATTAAAAACCTAGAGAAGCTTAGAATGACAAATAACTCTAACCTGCCTCCTTACTGCATACAGAGTTCCCAGATTGTGGCTCATATTGCAGAAATTGTTTCTGCTCTGAAAAACGTAATACTCTACATTCAGGGCAGGAAAACTCCTGCTCTGAAGACAGCAATTTCTACTAACATTATTCTAAGAGTATCACCATGCAAAGAGTCATAATCTGAGTCGATTTTTCCCACAACAGCAAATAAGTAAGATCTCGTATATATTTTGAGATGCATTGAAAATATCCTTTTTGTCAATCCCCACAGATTTTGTGCATTCAGCTTGGATAGACTCGAGACTCAGATCATTCCTGGTTTTGTATTGGCTTAATCAGAAACCAGAGTGATGTTGCACTCCCGAATCAAAAAGCACAGCTTTTTCAAAATGCATTTCAAAAAGTGCTTGCTTTTTTGTTCTTGTTCTCCTTCTCTACCTTTCTTCACACTTTTATGAACTCCTAATAATAAATAAGAGGGATACCTGAGAATATGCTGAAGAAGAATTTGCTGAGTTCCCCTGGCTGAAAATTTTACTTACTGTTCCCAAAGCTTCTTATTCCTAGCTGTAGAGAGTAGCAGTGTAACAGGAGTTGAACTCTTGGAGTGTCTGCCTATTCCAGAAAAGAGTAACTCACTTGTTTACAAATCTAAGATTTTGGCTTAGTGCAAAGTCATTTTTCTCTTTCTCAACTGGATGTTAATAAAGCTGTAAACTCTAACCAGCAAAGTCCTGGCATGCTCTTATAATTCACCTACAACTCCTGGAGAACTTTATATTGTAAGTAGTGATGCCCCCTTCCATTTCCATCTCCATTCCAAATGTGATTTCTTGTTTATTTTACAGGCTTATGATGGAACTTACATCTTTGCCGAAATTCCTTTGGACAAGTGACAACAAACTTCTGCATCACCATTTTCCGGACGTATTGGCTACTGTCCATACCACACAAGACATTCCTGAAGAAGTTGTTTTTGGACCATGCGTGCTCCAGAACACCCTGCTGGACACTGTAGCTTTTATTGCTCTCAAGTGTTCTGATAGACGGAACATCCACTATGTATTTAAGGTAGGAGAAAGCAGCATTTAATGTTAGTCATATCAAAAAGGGTTGCACCATCCCTGAGAAGGTAACTTTGCCAAGGGGCAGATTTCTGTTTTGTTCAGCACAACTAAGAGCTCTTTCAAAGGGGAGAAGTAGCCAGTGCCTTTCTGATTTATCAGCTATGGGCTGGGGGGACCTCAGTGAAAACTGTTTCCTTTGCAGGAAGAATACAAAGTCCCACTTCTGTGCCGACGATTGATGACCTGCTTCAGCACTGACTGGCGACAAATAGTTTAGAAACTTCACGCTCAGGTTTTGTCCTTCCAAAGTACAAAGGAGGCTTATCAGGAGGTGTGACAGCCCTGTGAGAGCAGAGAGGGAAGACTGTGGCATTGCCTTGATTCATGCAGGTGGTACATTCACAGCATTTATTGACAGATCTGAGGAAGCGCTAACCCATTTTGCTCAGTTATCCGTAAAGTGACATCACAATGTCAGTGATCTCAGCACAGGCTGTATGAACTGGAGAAGATATCAGTCAGGCAACTAGTCTGCACAATCTTCAGGCAGCCACAACTTATTGCAATTAGTACACGGATCTCCTAAAGTTACCTTAGATATGTCTATCTGTTGCAGCTGCACTTTTCAACCACTGTAGAGAAGTCACAGAGATACGTCTGTGAAACAAAAGGCACTGTCATGTAGGGAAAGTCAGAAACCCCAGGACTGTGATGGATTGTTAACTCTCCAGCTCAAGTTCCCAAAATTTTTTGTTCCCTAGCCACTGTTTATCATAACATTTTCATTTGGACAATGCATATTTTTCATGCTGGCTTCTTGCCTTGGCTTTCTGGGTCTTGGAGTACGTATAAGTTACCATTGGTCTAGATGAAGACAGGGAGGTAGTGTTTTACCATTGAGGCAAGCAAATTTTCCATCTACTATGGCATGGATAGATCTGGGAGAGATCCAGGTTCTCCTAAGTTTTTCGTGCTCTGGAGGAGACAAATCCCAGGGAGTATGTGTAATATGGAAGATGCAGCTGCTGGGAGATATCTGTTTGACACATTTGCTTTAAACAAATTAAGAAAGAGAAGAAGAGTCTTCAGGGTTTTTCTGACTGTTTGAGCCTCTGGCACAAATTTGCTTGCTTGAACAGTGTTATTAGTACTCCAGGACAACTACAAGTTCTTCAGAGAAAGATGTCTCCTGAAACAAGGCTTTATTTATGGAATATTCCCGTATTTCTCCTGGGAGCTTTGGAATGACTGTAGACTCAGGAAAGAACCTCAAAGGGTTTCTATATTGGAAGAGCCCTCCAGAGGGATGGCTTTAGTGTTTTGCTACATTTGAGCTAAGTAATTGTTATGCAGCCATGAAATTGGATGCCTGAGTTGGCTCAGATCTCTGTCTTTTGGCAGTAAATACATCAAATTCTGTGCAAGTAGCTGTTTCAGATGCAATCGGTGGTCCCATATCCTGTTAGCTACTCATAATTAAAAGTAAACCTTCCAGAAACCAGGAGCTATTGCTAAGCTCCTAACTCTGTGTGTAGACAATTAATTAACAATTCAATCATGATGCTATGTTGATATCATGGCACTGAGGTGCAAAATAAGAAATGGGTTTTGATATGCTGGCTATGGTACAAACAGAATACACGCAGGAATAATTTGGCAAGGTGAATTCTTTGCAGCTGAGGTTCATGTTCATCCTAGTTCGGCAGCACTCCTGCAAGATTTTGGGGAATATTATTTCTAACAAGGGTTTCCTCATCTTGGGCTTTTATGTTTCGTCCAAAAGGGAGCTCTATGTTTTGTCTCTCATCCTCTTGGGGACCTTAATTTGAGCTCCTTGGGCCAATTTGTACTCTTGGGCAAAGAAAATGCCTTGGCAACCGCTGGCACAGGTGGTTCTTTGCAGCCAATCGTTTACCCCAGCAAAGCAAACCGGCCTCTTGCAAAGCTGTCTGTCCCACTGAGTTCCTCTGCCCCTTACAGCTTCTTGTGGGTTCCAAGGAAGAGTTTTATTCTCCCCCTTCTCCTCCAGCCTCTATCAAGGAAGCCATGTGGCCTCCCAACTGTGACTGAGCCTGTTTCCAAAAAGCCTTTACCTTGTATATGGGTGCAAATCTGAGGGACTGCCATCTCCAGACGAGGGTGGACTTGCAGGGTTTGTAGTGTCTCTAAACATGGAAACGCTAAAGCTGGTGCATGCTTCTAGTTGACACCACCCAGATCTTATGTTCTGACCTCTACTCCTCTCCACCTTCTTTAAGCTCTCTCAGCTCTTTCCCTGGAGGTCTGGTTCCTGGAGGAGCCGTGTTCCATTTGACTTTGCTTAGGGCGCCGGGTGGATGCTCGGTATTTCTGAGACACAGAAACTAATAAATGACAGTCTTTGTCATAGCTATTAGTTACAACCGCTGTGTGTGGGTGGGTGTGCTTGTGTCACTGTCAGACTTTTGTATTTCTCAATCATTGTTAATTACCATGGCGTTTAGAGAGAACCAGCATGCTAATTTATTTTCTCCCTTATACTAATTGACTTTTATCCTAATGGCCCCTTAATGTTTTGTTCTTGTATTCGAGCTACTAATGTATCATTTTCATGGCAGGTAATAGTCCGAGAGAGTGAAAAACAGATAAAGAAATAGCCAAAATACTGTTTCCGATACAAAACACCAATGAATGTCTGCCCTGCAATTAGTGGAAAACAAAGAGCTATACATTGCTTGGGGTGAAATTTAGATCATACTTGTCATAAGACATTTTTCATTTCCAAACTCCTTCCTTTCTAAACAATGACTTAGTGCTTCAAAAATTAATTGAGACTTTTTATGCATGTAAGTGTTGCCCTTGATTGCCCTGTGTTTCAGCCTCCAAGCTATGAAAATCTTCCCCATCTTTCAAATACTGCAGAGGACATAGATCTGCTGTGGTAAACACCAAAGAAAAACATGTAAAGGAATAAATCACGCCCTATTCAGAGGAAATGCAATAAAGTAACCAACATGGGAGCCACACACTGAATGAGGAAGACAAAGCCAAAAGTTTTATTTTTATATTATTTTCAGAGCATGGTCAACCTGTGACTAAATGACTCAGGAGTCCTATGGAGAAAGGAATATATGTGACTGAGGACTATGCTGTAATATACACACAGAAGGGAAATTTAATTTGAGCAGTAGACTTAATATTATTTTTTTAACTTCTGAGTGCCTGACCTTGTAACCTAAGCAACATTTTTTAACTTAATCTGCTTGGTATTTCTGAATGCACACATACTGGAAGTAAATCAAGCCCTCACAACTGTCATAAATAAGTTAATGAAAAATATTCATCTGATCAGTTTTTGTCTATTTAGATACCTTGAAATGAATTTAATCAATTTATCAAAGGCGGGAATAGGAATATATCAATCATTATATTTCTGAAAAAGTAAAGAGATCATGTAAGTGTTTTTTAGTTGTATTTATTAACATGTAATTTTTATGTAATCTAGCCAAACAGCTATCTATGCAGATGTTGTCTCCTTGGGGTGTTGAATCAAATAACCAAGATTATTCTTACACCTCCTGAGCCATATCCTCTTACGTCAGTGCAAAACTCCACATGCAGCTGCCCAGCGTGTGTGTTCATTGCACTGACCCAGGGGTCTGCACATCTCACACCCCCCCAGACCACAGCACTCGTACCTCCCCTGACTCATATCCCGTTCTCCCATGCGACTGAGACCCCTACTTACAGAGGAGGTCACCTTCTGTACCTCTGTGATCCACGCCTGACGCAGTCCCATGGGACAACCTGCATTGGACAGAGGACATCATTCTTGCCATGACCGGGCTTGAGGTTGACCAACGTACCAGCCCTGACATTGCCATGAGAGGTTACATGTGAACATCGGTGTCTCCTTCTCCCTCCCATGCAGATCTGCTCCCAGAGCTCTCAGCACTCGCACCGAGGAAGCCTTCTCCCTGTGGTGATTTTGGATTTGGTGACACTGGCATATGAATTGGGCTCACAGCTTTGGCATGCTGGCTGCTGTGTATGAGGCAGAAAACAGGCTTTGTTCTTGAATTTGATGGTAATCTATTTTGAGTCCCAAGACCTGAAATTTCCCTTTTTTGTGTCCTGTCTCACAGGTAGATGTTACATCTGTGCATAGTCCCACAGGACTGCCTTGGATGAGACTTGTACAAGCAGCTGCCAATAGCAAGGAGCAGAACTTGGAAGCTTACTTAGAAAACAGTCAGCTGTATTATCGCTCTACCAGGAAAATCAAGAAAAATGAGGAGCTACTTGTCTGGTATGATGAGGAGCTTTCCAGCCTCTTGAGTTTCAATGAGATAAAAGCTCAGAGTCCCCAGAACGGTAAGTACGAAATTGCTGACTGCAGGGGTCACTGAGGACTGAAGTGAGTCTGCAACTTCTTTAGTATGTGGTGATCTTGTAATACAGAAAATAAAACCTGCCTAAATCCTTGTCCAGTCAGCTAAGAAAAAAGACCTTCTGCTTTGAAGATTGAGCTGGAGACAGAGAGCAAGAACAAATTTACAGTTCTCAATGCCGTTTTCATTGCTACATCCAGCAGAGGATGGTGCACTAGGGATTAATGCTGAATTTTTTGAGCCGTGTAATGGAAGTTTATACACCTGACTACCCTGGAATCCTAAAAGACTAAAATATCAATTTGAAATATCCTTTTTTTAACTCATTGAAGAATCAGGTATAGGCTAGTGTCCAGCTTTATTCTTGTAAATGGGTAGGGCTATAAAAATACATAACGCCACAAACAGTACTGCATACAGCACAGGCTGCCTATTTAGCATGGGACATAGTGGGAATGAGGGGAAGGGCATGACTTTAGTTCTGAGATGTTGCTAGAAATTTATGGCTCTGAAAGAAATTGATGTGGCAATTGTTGAAAAAATAAAAATCTATATTACAGAGAGACCAAGCAAATCACTGTCAGGTCCATGCCAAGGTTGTCTCCAGCTGTCATTTGCTCAAAACTTTGATCTAGTTAGACTGGAACAAAACCCTTTCTACATTCCCTTTGGTTGTTTTAAACACAGCTTATATAGGTTGGTTAGTAAAGGTGTAGGTTGGTAAAGGTATGAGTTAGTAAATTTATATGGTAATGTACTTGCCTGTAAATTAAATTAATACAGACACATTCATGGCAGGAACCCACTAAATCATTTTAACTTATTTCAGTGTATTCTGTTAGCTTCTGTGTAGACATGCACTGTCAGCCCTTTGAATTTACCAGGGCAAAGTCTTACCTACACAAGAAACACTGTATCTAGACTCAAGACTTTAAACTAGCAGGTATAATTCACCCAAATTTGCAGCCTTATTTTCTTATAAAAATTTCAGTTTCTGTAGTGTGGGAAGCAATCTAAGCTGTGCTGAGCCTACAAATTAGGGGTTTGTAGTTCTACCCAACCAATATATGCACTTTCCCATGTACTCAGGTGCTGTCTGGTATCATTTGCGTTTCAAAACTGCTATGTGTTGTGAAATAATGTAGCATGGATACTGCTTACAAAGGTTAAGATGTGCCTTACGTGTCTTGGTCGCCGCATTATGTACGGTCTATTCATGGGCAACCAACCTTCCCAATGAACCAGAGATGCAGTACATCTGAAGGCCAGAATGAAACTGTTCCCCACTCCTCCTGCTCATCACTGGCATTGTTTCACTTTGAACATTGTTTTCTGTGCCAAAGGCAGCTGTGCCTTAAGGCATACAGCAGTTTGCCAAATAAGCACAAGTAAGGGCTTCAGACTATTGTCAGATGATTTGTGAAGGGTATTAAATTTCCAGAGTATCCTGTGCAGAAAATAGAGGCTCATGTCAAAATCTTTGAGTCCAGGTCTAAAACACATGAACCAGAAATGCAGTACATCTGAAGGCCAGAAGGAAACAGTGTTCCCCACTCCTCCTGCTCATCACTGGCATTGTTTCACTTTGAACATTGTTTTCTGTGCCAAAGGCAGCTGTGCCTTAAGGCATACAGCAGTTTGCCAAATAAGCACAAGTAAGGGCTTCAGACTATTGTCAGATGATTTGTGAAGGGTATTAAATTTCCAGAGTATCCTGTGCAGAAAATAGAGGCTCATGTCAAAATCTTTGAGTCCAGGTCTAAAACACATTATTACTTGGCTATATAGAGTTTAACATTCAGCCTGTATTAAAGCCAATGACTGACTTAGGAAATGTAGACCCAAATCTGTGTTCAGACTTCAAATTGTCATAAAGTCTGCATGGTTTTATCTAGACCATTGTGTACTGGCCTTTTTACATAATACAAACTTGGCTTGAGAGTCTAAATGAAAGCATTTCTGCAAGTAGCACACAGAGGCAAATACGAGTGAACCACTTTCCATAGCAGCAAGGGACCTGATTCTGCACTGGCATTAGCTTTACCATGTGTAATCTTGTATGACACAAGAGATGTTTCTGGTTTTTTATTTGTGACAATGACAGGGTCAGGATCTGCATTAATCCATGATTCTACCTTTGCAAAACTCAACATCCATTGTCTGTTTCTGCAGAGTTGAGATGCCAAGAATGCGACCGAGTCTTTAAATATGAGCATTCCTATCTCTCCCATGTCCGCTTCCTATGTGTCCCAGAGAAGAGTGCCCTGCTATGGAGAAACTTCCAGAACCCTGAGACTGAAAAGAGCAACTTATCTGAGCAGACCACGAATTTCCACAGCCTGGCAAGGGATCTAGAGGTCAAAATGGCAGCTTGCAAAGATGATGCCCAGGGTCTCACAGGAGAAAGGAGAGCAAAATCTGAAGAGCCTGAGAACAGCAGGAGCAGGAAAACAGTGCTGTTGGAGAAAACCAATAATTTGAGTAAGGAATATAACTGTGGGGGCAAGGAAGAGGTTGGGGTAGAGTATGCATCAGCTGCTTCTTTCTGGAAGCTTAGTTCAGGGAGGCAGTCAGCTAGGAAGGATGCTTTAGAGCAGAAGCAGAGCGCTTTCACTGAGGTCAAGAGGATGAAGGAGAAACTGAGGAACGAGAGACCAAAGGAGCCAGAACAGGAGGATGGCACGGTACCACTTGGTAAAGAGCAGGTGTCAAAGGAAGTGTTGCTGAACTCCTCCGGTAGTGCATTCTCCTTTGTGTGGCCCACCAGACCCCGAGGAGAACAGAAGAGTGCTTTCAGCAAACCCAGTAGGTGTCTAACAGAAAGAGCTGCAATTAATTCTTCTCATCCCATGAGTGAGTCACCAAAGAGCCTGGGGGAGCTGTCTGGCTTCATTGCCACCACAGACATCGTGTGCTGCAGCACTCTTCTCAATTCCAAGTTCTTTGTCAGTGATTTGTGTAATGCTCAGATGCTGCAGACAAGCATCACTCGGAGCAATGTTTTCCCATATACCTCAGAACCATGGCCCAAACAAGCAGGAGGACAGTTACAGAACACAACCACCACTTCTTCTTCCCCCTCCTCCTCTTCCTTGACTCTTCTTCCCCCCACCTTCACGTCCTTTGGAGTGGCTGCCCAGAACTGGTGTGCCAAATGCAACCTGTCCTTTCGTATGACATCTGATTTAGTCTTCCACATGCGGTCACATCACAAAAAAGAATATTCCTCAGCTGAATCCCAATGCAAGAGGAGACGAGAGGAGAAGCTAACGTGTCCCATTTGTCATGAGTACTTCCGAGAACGCCATCATTTATCCCGGCACATGACTTCTCATAATTAGAGCTGTGCAGACAGATCTCACCAAGGGACTGGGCAGGTTGGGTAAAGAAGAGGAACATAGTTCACTTGTATCTATTTCTTTTTAAGTTTACATTAATTTCTTACAGGAAATCACTGTTTACAATAATTTATAATAGATGCTTTGCAAAAAAATATAAAATGTTTACAAGAGTCTGAGTGGGTTGTAAGTTTTGAAAACTCAACCTCGCCCTTGTCAATCTATTTTTGAGGAAATAAAACAGTGAAATGAATGCACATGCAGTATTAATTTGCAAAAACTTGGGAACAAAATTATTGTTTTGCAAACAGAGTTTTCTTTGCTTGTAATTGATTTGCTGGTGTCTGTGCAGTACAATGTAATTACAGAAGTAACCACCACCTCATTGAATGAGGAATCTTTATACACTGAAAAAATCAGAGCTTATATGCTGAAAGAGAAGAAATTACTGTTTCGAGTAGCTTTGGTGGACTCTTACTCCTTTATGTTAGCTGAATCAGCTATCTTACCAGATTTGTGAGTCTGAGTAAAAAAACTTATATCTCACTGTCTCGTTGGCTTTGAAAGGGACTTGAAATTAAGACTCTATCTGAATTTGTGATTGTCAACAACTGGCCAATAGACTGCCAAAGAGGATGTGACTGGTAAATCAGTATATCTGAGTTCTGTTCTAGGCTCTGCCACTTTTGAAATGTCTTTCACAAAGTCAAATCAACCTGGCTCTGTATCAAAATATGACCTGTTGTCAATGGTATTGTGTAGACAGGGAGCACAAATTCTGCCCTGATCCGTGCTTGCAAGATCTGTGTGACTTTAGTAGGCGTACAGATCAGATGGGGGTAGAGTGTGGCCTGTGGTTTTCAGGTTTTGGATATACTAAAGGAAGCAAGTAGGGTATTTGAGTTATGATTAGCTACGGATAGGTAGAATCTGCACACTTAATTGTGGATGATGATAGGCTCTGTTCTGCTAACAGCTAGAAGAGGAATGTCCTTCACACAATGACTCAGGCATACATGAACTGCATTGCGTTAGACCAGCTTGTCTACCCTCTGGTTTCTACATGGGCCGATTCAGCTTTTTTAAAAAGAAAGTGCCAAATTCTCTCTATAGCCTGTCCATATGAGACATTTTTCTCCTGCCTGCCTTGGTTTGAGTTCTGTTTAGTCTCAGAAGCAGATGAGTTTATACTGCTCTGGGTGTGGGGGTTGAAGCAACAATCTTTTCTATTGTTACTGCAGCTCATCTAATTAGCCTTTCATTACTTTTTTTAATCCATTTAGTGGCTTGCTCTTCATAGCTTATGACAACATGTTCTTCAAGCAAGCATTTATCTCTCTCGTATAGTATTTTTTCAGGTTGTCTGATGTTTTTGTGGCCTTTCTCTGAGCCTCATCTGCTATTATTCCCTTTCAGATAGAAAATGATCAGAAACCACTCATTTCCCAGCTAAGAGTAAAGGACATTGCAATATGCTCCTTATTATTTTCCACCATACTGATGATATAATCCAGTGTCTGCTGTACACTGGACCGAAGTTTTCTCTGAGTTCCCATGATGATGCCTAGGCTGATAATGCAAGTATCAGAAAGTAAACACATCTGAGTGATAGAAGACAGCCCGAGAGTCTTAGGCTCTCAGCTGGGATCAACATATTACACTCATTGTCATCTCTTGGGAGATTTCTGTAAGTCAGGAGACTGTATTCTTCCCAATATATCGCTGTTGAACATTAATACGTGGCTGTTTCCTATTAACATAAACATTTGACTTATTGCAGGCCAACCACTGGCTGTGCACCCCAGCTTTATTTTCCCAACATAAAGTGATTAAACTGTTACATTATGCCTTTGAGTTCAGAAGACATAAATTGAGACTGGAAGTCTGGTTGGATTGTAACACAGCTTTCCAAGGTCAATGGTGGAAGCTCCTTCACTGGAGTCATTAAAAACCAAATTGAACAAAAGCTTTGAAACATGGAGCACAGGGAACAACCTTGCATTGAGCAGGGGATGATGTGGTTTCCTTCTAATCTTTCCATCTCTATTTTGTGTCCAATAACTTTTACTGTGTAAGGAATATATTTATGGCAAGGTTTACTAGGCCAAATTTCACTCCATCTGGTTTTACCTGGGTGCCAGCCAGTTTACTGTGAAGTCAGTGTCCATAAAGCGTAATGAAGGACTCCATGGTGTAACTGCATTCATATGTGGTTAGGGTTATAGTTAGTTCCCATTAGTAGTTTAGGCCAGATTGTGATCTCACTTATTCCAGTGCAAATCCAGAATAATTCAATGTTGCTACTCCTGATTTACATCAATTACTTTAAGATCAGCCTGGCCCAGTATAAATAAGACTTAAGATTTTTTTTGGTACCATTGCTACAAAATGTTCTCTTCTGTACTCACTGAAAGACGCCATGTTTTCTTAACAGCTTTATGGTTAGAAACCTAGCTTCAGATTTCTTCTGGAAAAAGACAAGACCAGCTGTGTAATGCCCCCAGTATTATGTTGGCACATCGCTTCAACATTACCCTGCTCCAAGGGCCTGTTTTTCCAGTGTGCTGCACCTGGCATACCATTTAGATCAGAATGGAGCAGTACCAAATCTAACTGGTTACATATTTCCACTGCTTTTGTGTTGGTGTAAGTGATCTTGAGAAAGTGTGGAAAATCAGCCACTGATAAACAGCTGCTGAATCTCAAAACCTCTCCCAGTGGTGTGTTAGATCTATATCCTTAGAGGTCTCATCAGTTATCAAAATGCTTCACTCTGCTTATGGTATGAGGCTAAAGCAAGGCGCAAGGATACAGGGACAGATAGCTTTCCTCTATGTCATGAAGTTGTTTTCTTTGGGGAAAAAAAAAAGAAGGTAAGAACTCTTACCCAATTTCTTTGTGGGCATATCTCAGCCACAGCAACTACATACTGTGACAACAAGCAATGTATAAATGCCTTCTGTGCACAGAAAGGCAAGAGGACCAGTTATGAACTGGTGGCAGAGCTGATTCAAAACGCACAAATGAAGAGGAGACGTTTTTAATCAGCTTTATTTCTGGTACTGTCCTCACCTCCTTCAGCTGCAGGGGCGGTGCAGTTTGGTCGTAGCATGTAAAGATTTGGGACTTTCCTCTTGCAACATGGAAATCACGCTGCAGGCAAATGTGTGCAATAATGCCCTTGCTCCTTTGTAGGCGGCCACTGGCATAAAAATTGAGTGATTAAATTGCTTCTTATGCCATACTAAAGTGTTTTGTGAACTGACTTGTTTACACACACAACTGACCAATATGTCATCTTGTTGCCTGCTACACCTGTGCTGACATCAGAGCAAAACATCACAGATGCCAACAGAACCAGAACTTGATTCCCTGTGTGTAAAACGAGCTCCTGTGTAAAGCCCCTTGGGCAGGCAGGGAGAATGTCTTTTATGTGTTTCAAGTTTAACTGAGTGTATCATCTAAGCTGGGTTACATAAACCAGAGGGCTTATCCGAAATTTTTGCAGATTTTATTTCTTTAAATGAAAATATTCGTATTAAAACTGAGCGAACCAAATATTGCACAGGCAGAAGGAAGCCTAACGAGACAAAGAAAAACAAACTTCTTATAATTGAGTCATGCTGGAAGATTTTTTCCCCTTACGTCTAGAAGTCTGAACATTTAAATTGGTGCAGATGAAAGGAAATCCTGCTGGAGGAAAGGCACTCCACTAGAGCAGGGGTTTCGTGAAGAAATGAAGGGACTTAAGGAATTCATGAAGGACTGCATTCTGTCACAGTGCAATACTGTGATTTTACAGCAGGGATCTGTGTCTTTTCTACAAGTAGAAATGCTTGGAAGAAAAAAATAGAATTTTGTTTTTTAAAACAGGAGGAGACAATTTGAAGCCAGCAGACTGGTTCTTTTCCTGCCTTTGCTAACAACTGCCTGTGTCATTTTGATCAAACCACTGTTTCTCACAACATCTGTTTCTGGATCAGTGAAAAGGGACATAACACAATGCTGTCACGCTTAGCTGTCCAGGCTGTGTTTCTGCAGTGGGTTGTGAGTTTACTGATAGGGAATGCCAGATTAGGATATTTGTTCAGTCATCGATTCCTGAACTTTTTCCAGTGAAGGTGTGTTTCTCCATAGAAGTGGCACTCAGATATGCTTTTAAAGAATATATATTTCCTTGCTTTTTTGGGGTAATTTTTCATTAATTGATGCAGTCTGTGGGCTCCCACTGGTCCACAGAGCACAGTTTGAAAATCACTGGACTAAGGCAGCTTTTGTGGTATGATCATGGAAGACTACATTAGAAGCACTCTCCAGAGAGCAAGAATGCATCTTTTTGTAGCAAAAAAATGAATAAGCTGGCTGCCATTTCTTGGTCAAAGTCCTGTGAATGCTAGAGGAGAAAGATCATACTGCTAGGAGGCCTGATACACCAACTCCTTTCTTCCTGCCTTTAAAAAGGACATGATTAGGATTAAACTTTAGGCAGTTACTCTAGGTGGGATGGTAAGGAAATAGCGCTATAAACTGCTGAATGTCCATGTCAGCTCTGGTACCAGAAGAGAGAGGAGTGGCAGTTTCAGCGTGTTTCCTGTTGTGTTGTGGAAGGGCACTTCTGAAATTGCTTGTCCCTCCCTAAGAAAACGTCTGTCTAACTTTCTCATTTAAACCACAAGCCATGGATTTTCCATAACTAACTTCCATGCATAGTTTTGTGATGTTCAAACCTTTCAATGCAATGTAATTTTCTATGCAATTGCTGTCTGTAGTTTTGTGAGGTCTGTTGATCAAGCTGTGCTGTGGTCATGGTTTGGTTTGAGCTCACAGTTTTAGTTGTCACTAGAAACATCAAAAATGCCAGATGGAGCCAAATCTGGGGGACATACATACAAAGTGGGACATACTGCTCAGGACCTAAGTCTTCCCTGACATTGTAGATGAAGGTGGAAGATCCATGCAGAAAGCAGCTGTGGGGAAAAAAGCAAGTTCTTGACCACATGGATGATAGAGATCTGCTTTAGGACTGAAAGTGCAGGTTTAGGTTTCAGGGGAAGTTCTGTTACCTATCATAATTCCAGATGACCTAGAAGTGTTTGGTACCTCTAAACAGTACAATCTCACTAGGTTCAATGCCACTGGCCTCAGTGAGTCCTGCAGGCTCTGTCCTTACATGCATTTCCCTTTTTGTCTGTTCTGAATTTACCTCCTTTCAACTTCACTATATTAAAGTGAGACTGGACAGGATAT